CCCTTGAAAATCCCTTCGATTCCACGCGTTCGGCTATTCGTTGCGTTTTTTAGATACGCAATAAACTTTTCAGCTTTTAAATAATTGCCCTTGCCAACGAGTACTGAGCTTAAAATAAATACTTTTTTTCGGGTTGATAAGTGGTATTTTCTCCCGACTCTCAGCTGTTGTATTCTACTTTATCTTTTCCTGGATTCAATATACTAGGAATTCCAGAATAATTAACACAATATAGTCATTAAACTCACAATAGAAACGTGGTCACACTGCGATCAAGATAAACCTCCGACGAGCAGAAACTTCGCTCAAGTGCGCTTTTAATTTTCAACTGAGAAAAAATGTGGAAGACCGAATAAACGAACCCAAAAGGTCTGACGCATGAATCTTCTAGAATAGAAACGTGCAAGTCGATAATACAGACCATTGCCGATAACTATTTATCGGATTTCCTTAATAGTAACTGTTTAAAAACTGAGTACTCTTATACCATGCCCCCACCAAAAAGTTAACCATCTCAAATCGAACTTAACCACCCCACTAACTATTGCTGTCCACACTGCGGTTAGAGGTTTATAAAACAGTACAAATGTTAAGAACAGTGTTCGGAACTCCAAAAATCGATTCAGGACTAAATTGCTGCAAAAATCGGAGCAAAAACAAATTTTCCGTACTAGATTGAATTTTTTATTTTTGTTTCTGACATTAGTTGTTTGACTAAAATATTTTCTATTCATGCAAAATAAGTACGCGAGGCAACGTAAGGATATGTTATATATTTAAGTAATTTTTAGCATTTTCTATATAGTAGAACGTATCTAACACTTAATTTTTAAAAAAGCAAACCTTTTCTACTTTATATAAATTTCATTCTACATATATTTTTTAACAACTTAAGTAAAGTTCTGCATCCGCCAATTTGTACAGCCATACATAAAAAAAATAACGAAGTTACTTTATTGACGCATTGCTATGAAAGAGTTACTTTTTAACAGTGAGATTTGGCTAACTTTCAATTTTTTTACTGAAACCGGTGGTGAACACTCAAAAAACGGCCCCAAGAGGGGCATAACATGAATGAAAAAAACGGAATAGATCTGAAGTCAAGCGGAGTAGAGGAGTAGATTTAACATTTTTTTAAAAACCAGAGTAAATCTAATCTGATTTTAGCTTAGTCCAAACACAAGTAGGGAACGAATTCTTTACATTTTAACGCTAATGACCCACAGATGGCGGGAAAACACAGGGTTGTATCAGACTTTCGACGTGGTTTCGAGTTGGTTAGCTTCTAACCATCTCAGTGAAATGGTTAAGTGCTGTCATTTTTATATGGCGAAACTACACTAAATGAAGTGGGTTATCGGGATAACCAACTCAACAGCCATAACTACGTGGTTAGCCCCGGTGGGGACATGGTGTTAGGGCCGTTTGCACCATGTCTAGTTAACGCTAACTGGAGGTACATCCTTTAGTTAAGCACGTCAACTGCTTTATCGAGCACATGTTATACGATGGGTGTCGATAACGTCGATAAAGATGTTTAACTGGGAGTAAAGGCTCTGTTATGCATACTTGGCATTGCATGCACTGCTATACCATTTTTACGTAGAAATCAAAAACCAACAGACTTTTACGTATGTAATGCTGTGCGTTGGGTAACAGCTTACACGCGAAGCTCATTTAACAGATTCCTTATGTGACAACTCTCAAGCAATGCCAAGTATGCATAACAGAGCCTTTAGAATTAACTAGACATGGTGCAAACGGCCCTTAGGGCCGGTTGTTCAATGTCTGGTTATCACTACCACTAGCTCTGGTTAAGTACAACGACTGCTTTATCGATCACATGTTACATGCATGATGTCGAAATCGTCGATAGTGTAGTGGTAGTGATAACCAGACATTGACCGGCCCTTAAATGCACTTGTTAAAAGTAACCTGGATATAGTATTAGTAGCATGATCCCATGATGCAATAATACAAGGTGTTATCGGTTGGCAACTTCTCGCTCTAATTCCGCCATATTGACTGCCTTAGGTGAGACATTGTCATGATGCAATAATACAAGGTGTTATCAGTTGGCAACTTCTCGCTCTAATTCCGCCATATTGACTGCCTTAGGTGAGACATTGTCATGATGCAATAATACAAGGTGTTATCAGTTGTCAACTTATCGCCCTAATTCCGCCATATTGACTACATTACGTGAAACAGTGTTACTTCTTTCACTATTCTTTGCCCATTAATATACTTGCATGCTTTTTATTTTTTCTCAGTATACACACTTTGTTTTCTTAAAAAGGTATTTTATCTTATTTTATTTCATTTCATTACGAATATACTATAAACAAGCAAATTTTGTTAAGGAGAAAATGTGAAATTTTATATTTTTCCCCCATATGGGGTTTCATTTCTTCCCGTTTTTCTTCTCATTCTACTGAGCTAAGGTAGTGTCAAATCGAGCTGTCACAACTGATACCACCTTGTATTATTGCATCATGAGACATTGTTACTTCTTTAACAATTCTTTGCCTAATAATATAGTTCAATATAATTTTATTATTTCTCAGTATACACATTTTTTTCTTAAAAAGGCATTTTATCTTATTTTATTTCATTTCATTACGAATATACTATAAAAAAGCAAATTTTGTTTCGGAAAAAATTTTAAATTTTTCCCCCAAATGGGGCTTAATTTCGTCCCCTTTTTCTTCTCGTTCTACTGAGCTAAGGCAGTGTCAAATCGAGCTGTCACAATTGATACCACCTTGTATTATTGCATCATGGCATGATCCAACTACACAAGATCTGAGAAAATGATGCAAAAGAAAAAAGTAATTTTCTGGCTGACGTTTGTAATTTTGGCGCCAAGTTATTTTTTTTGAAAAGTAAACAAAGAATATGAAGACAAGCATAAAGAAAAAAAAATGCAAGCAATTTTGCAGCACTTGTTTGTGCTAACCAAATTATTATTTTGTACGTGTTTCTGCCATTAATCACCGCACACTTCATTTTAATTACATTTGCACAAAAAATTTACTGGATGAGAAGACTCCCTGAAAATTTCTTTGGTATTGTTTCTTTGTCATATCACGCTGAGGGCCAACCTAATATTCACACACACCGTGAATTTGCTGTAAAAATTTCTCATGCACATACATGTATATATAAATACACATAACTAACTATAGTTTTTTGATAGCATATGGTGCTGCTTATATATTGATTATTTTTTATACCTGATCTCACATAGCTCTGCCTAGAATCATCGGGGTGCTCTCTGTGCACCGGGTTTAAGTGACTTTGAATCATCCGAATCCGCTTATGAACCTCCAGCATCAGAATATATTTATTCCACCATAAAGTTAAGTAAATGAGGCAATTTTCGCCATTAAGGGCCGGTTACTCAATGTCTGGTTAACACTTTAATTAATTAATTAAAGTGTTAACCAGACATTGAGTAACCGGCCCTAAATGAATCTCATTCTCTAAAATAAAAGGAAAAGGCTTGAAAAAAAATGTATTGTCCCAGATCTGTCAAAATGGAACCAGTTCAGAACTAGCTCAAAAGTTCTGCAGAGAGAGTTCTGCCACTTCGTAGGACATCGCCATGTTAAATGAGACAGTTGACAGCACTGATTTGGGATAGATGAAGAACCAGTACCGTCCCTTTTCAAGCTAGTTCGGCACTAGTTTCTAACCAGTTTTATTTGCATCAGGAAAGCAGAAGAGTGAGGACCAAGTCGAATCTATACAAGGTGGTGTTATCAGATCCGCTGATTTCATGACGAATTTGTACCTTTTCTCAAAATGATGTGTATAATTTGTAATTGTAATTTTAGTTTTTGTTTTGTTAACACCTCCTTGTATAAATTCGCCTTGGTGAGGACCATCCTTCCTGTGACAACAGCCGGATGAAATGTTATGGGTACCAACTTTCCATCGCACAACACTAAGGGCCGGTTACTCAATGTCTGGTTATCGCTAATCTCCGGTTAAACATAGTTATCGACGTTACCGTTTCACGACGTTTCATTTTGGTCGACAATGCAGGCTAAATTAAATTTATGGACTTGACTGGGTTCACACAGAGAAAGTTTTGTTCGGCAACTTAAGTTTTGGTGTTTCCCTTCGCGTTCACACAGAGCAATTATTTTGTACACAATTGTTGTTGTCAGCTGTGAACCATCAACTTGAATCACCCAGACGAATGAGAGCTCACAGCTTATTCCCCGAGCATGAACAACTCGGTGCCCTTCCCCTTTCAGCGAGTCCCACATTACCGCGATTCTGACGTTGCGAATCCGCAGAGCCAAAATTTACAACAATGCTACCCATATATTTTAACTAGCGCACACTTGTACGATTCCGTCGCTGTGAATTTTTCGAACATTCAATGTTCCTCTCGTTTGACGCGTTCGAAACGAGGCTTGCAGCGTCAAAGAGGAAGAAGGAAAGTGTCATAGCAATACACGCAAAGAAAAAAATGTGTATTGTACAAAAACTAATAAAAAATGCTCGTAACAATCTTATTTTATATGATATGGACACGCGGTATGCGAGCTCTCGCTTGCTTTCAACTGTCATTTCTGTTGTTTGACAGCTATGTTCTCATTTCGCAGAACTCTTCAGAGTAGCAACATCGTTTATTTTGGAGGCAAATACAAATTTAGAGGCAGCCATTTTTCATTTGATAATAGTATACATCTCTTTATGCAGATCTTCTAATTTTCTAAAACTTTTAAGAGCCTGCAAGGCTTGAACCTTCTTGTTTGGCGACATTTTACAAATGAAAAAGTATGATGTCAAATGCCCAGTCAACAAAACTCTATCTCGCTTGCGAGAGAAAAAAGCAGAACGCCAGCGAGATTTTCAAGCGTGTGAAGACGGCCGGTAAGGGCGGGAATAATGTATTTGTAGAATCTATTTCCAACACTATTTGTGCCTTTAAATACAGCGTCATCTGGTTTTCAGATTACGCTTTCGACAAGGGATGAAATTAGTCAGCTGTTTATACTTCAATTTAAGCTGAAATTAGTCGAGAACGCAGAACGTGTACTTAAACGCAGTCTGTATACGCAGAATTTTGTCGATTACTGGAGCCCTCAGTGTTGCTTACTACACTGTTGCCACTCTTCAATGCCTTTTCATAAACTTACCCTTTCAACCACAATTTTTCGTGCTATAATAGATTGTAGCTAAATATAAACTACTTAGTTTTAAACAAAAACCTTATTTAATAGTAAATTTCAAATATTTTAAACATATTTTGAATAGGAACTTATAACTTTTTTACCATCTGCAAAACTGACGAAGTGGCAACCATATAAAGAAGGAGAAATCAGCTGACACGGAAAAATCTAAATTCCGCAGATTTCTGCGCTACGGGCTACAACTACAGAAAAATTCTGCGGCGTTGAGTTTTCATTTACATGGCGCTTTGGTAAGACAGAACGTGTCAGCTGACTCGGGTTTACGTACCGGTAGGTTTACGGTCTTGACTAATTTCAGCTTTATTCCAATTACTTGTGGGCGTGTTATAAAACAAAGTGGAGAAGTTATAAAGTAAATAAAAAAATGAAGCACGCAAAATTCATAGCAAGAACCGTAATGGTACAAAAAAATAATGTGGAAGAAGCCTGTCGTTTGTTAAATCGCATCTTGGGCAAAGAGGAAATTTTCGATCAATACCGGCGAACACGCTTCTATGAAAAGCCGTATCAGGTTAGTACCATGAACCAAAAATGTGTTTCGTTCATGGGTTAGTACCATTTAAATCTATAATATATGTTTATTTCAAACATTGGTTTGTTGTTGTAGGTGCGACGTCGAGTTAACTTCGAGAAATGCAAAGCAATCTATAATGAGGACATGAATCGGAAGATACAATTTGTGCTACGCAAAAATCGCACGGAACCATTCCCAGGATGTAGTTAAATATGTATTCATATTTTTTTAATTCAATAATCATGTAATAACATTAAAGCATTTGTTTTGTTAAATGAATGAACATTTTCCCATTACAATGATACTTGTGATTTGTTTTGCGAGATTCCTCTTTATTTGGTATTTGTACTGCTGGAGCTTCAAAGCTTTATAGGGAGGTTTGAAAGCTTATTGGACAGTTGTTGACAGTGAAAAACTGCCTGTGTAGGGACGATGGTTACCAAAGTGTTTCTTACATTCAAGCAGAACGGACGTGTTAATGTAAAATTAAGTGGTATGTCAAGAGATTAACGAAAGGAAGTAAATAATAAAAAAAGCATACAAGTTGTGCTCTATTACTGTGAAAAAAAAACTTGTTCAGTTTTAATTTTATTTAGCACACCGTGCAAAAAAGGAAAGGTAGTAATGATGGTTTGAAATCCATATTTTACAATATGGCTTATTAGCTTCCCTGAAGGGTATATCAGCGCAATTAACACTACTTAACTCTGTTCATTCATGCCATTTCCTGCGTAACATATATGTATGGCTGATATAAAAAATATAACGTTAGGAGGGATCAATGAAAAAGTCGCCTTGAACTTTTACATGCGACCTGTAAAGCACGAATGCATAACGCATGCTTCAATAAATTTATTATATTAAAGCGGAAATGGCCTGTATTATAAGTGTAAGGAACTGGACTTATGAAATCATAGATTTTAAAAATGTAAATAACATACGTACATACACATTAAAGGCTTAAATTATATTTGGTCTATTAAATTAAAATGAGAAATGTAATGGCAAATCATGTGACGTCCTATATTGAATCTCCTAACTACGAATCTAAATACGTGTCTCCCATTCCTTCAATTGCGCAATTAGGCACATTGTTATAAAGCTACTGTTTGGTAGCCCTTAATGTACGCTGCCATCCCCTTTCATGTCACGTTGTTGGCACGGTTCTCCTTAACTTTGTATTTTTTGCATAGTTGCTTTTGTTGTGGGATATCGATTTGTTAGTGTTTTCATGCTATTTTTAGCAGCTGAAGTGCTTAACGTTTTCTAAGAAAAAGTGCTCGTGCACCGAGAAATATATGCATGCAAATGCATATATGTAGGTACATTTGTGAATGGTCTACGTTATGACTATTTTCTGTGCTTCAACAATCGATGTATCGCAATGACGGCTATTGTTCCCTGTTTATAGCAAGGATCAAGCCGCTACCACAAGTGACTATCAAAGCTTTGAATGTAACTTCCCATTTGAATGGAAATACAGTAGAATTAGTTGTAAGAATATTTGCATATTGATGGACTAATGTACATATTCAATTTAAGCGTTAGTACATACTACACAGAAGCTTTACAAACTAATTAGGGCATCGTAATAAAAACATAAATACATACATATGTCCATATGTATGTATGTATATATTATCAAAAGTTTCCTTGTTATTTCTATTAACTGGCATGTACATATATACATATAACTCTTATTTCAGATTTTAATTCAGTTTAAAACATACTAAAATAGACCAAAATGCTTTTATATCGGCTTCAGGCAATAATTTGGTTATTTAGTGGAGTCATTGGTCTTCATGCATATCCAACAATCAATTTACCACTTTTATTCGGTAAGTGATGAAGAAAAAAGTATATTAAACCACATTCATAAAAAAAAATTTAGATATCATCTTCACCGATGTAAAAGTCCCAAATTTGATACCTTATAAGAGCAGCAAAAAAGGTTCAAAATACTTACATACATATGTATGTGAAATTCTTTCACGACTGTTTTGAAAAGTATCTACAGGCATACATACGTATGTAGAGTGATAAATTGTCTACGTAATTGCGTGAGAAGTACTAGGTTTGATTATGAGCAAAACCGAGAATACATGGCGTATGAGCAACATTATTTCCAACTCATACTCAGGGCCTGTGCCAATCGGTAACTTTTTTCTCCGTGGTGAGACGGTGTGGAAAAATTTGCTATGGTGTACAAATAAATTGAATTTTGCTGTGCCAAATGCAGAGTAAAATTTTGACAGTTGAAAAACCAAACAAACGGTAGTGCGGAAGCTTTATTTTTGTGTGTTGCTGAAATTCTTAAACTTTATATTTATTTTATAATTTGTAAGTAACGTACGCTTTTTTTATGCTGTTTTAGCTTTCATTTTCATGTTCACTCCTTATTACCGCCAAGCAATATTATGTGTATACAAGAATGATAGAATACAAGATTGCGCCGATCAGAGAGGATTTTTGAGAATAACTTTTGCGTGACGTCACACTGGTGCAATTGCGAGAGAGAAATGCCAAAACGTGAGCAAGAATGGAAGAAGAAGAAAAAATGTTGCAAGGAAAACGTAAACAAGNAGGAATAGCGGTCCGAGATCGGCGCAACCTTTGTATTCTCTCAACCGTGATGTGTATACATGGTTATAAGCTGTCAAAATATTACCTAGCCCCATGAGCTAGGTAAAATTTTAACGTTCGTATTCACCACAAGAAGTGTCAAATTTTTACTTTGATCCGTAATTGGCACAAGGCCTCAGTAGATAATTTCATGAATCAAAAGCCCTTCCAAAAAGCCTTCCACTCTATATTTCTTTTGTACTACGTATTTCAGAAGCCTTTTTGGAGGAGTTCTTTTAAAGCTGCTTCTTGAATTCATGAAAATCATATACATTTCTTTAAAGTATTTGCTAAGTAAAGTATTCACTTGCGAAGCGAATGATTTTGGCGAAGGGAACGGTTTGGCGAAGCGAATTAAAAGGCAGAGAAGGTATTAAAAGTGTTCGAAATGCAAAGAACTTGCACAAGCTGATAAAAGCGAACACTCTTAATGCATATTAAAGTTGCGTTCGCCAATCCATTCGCTTCACCAAACTGTTCGCAAGTGATAATACCACCCTTAATTGTAACTTAAAAATCATATTGAAATTCATATGTAAAGCTATATAATATGACACCTACATACATATAAGCTTATACATTCGCGTAGAATGTAAATATTAAAAGTCATGCAGGGAAACACCTTTCCAAAATGGCTTCACTTTAGAAGGCCTACCTAAATTATCATCTGGGTGATTAAAAAAAAAGTCCTATTATTTGATTGTCGAATACGAGAAATTGAAAAACTTCGGATTGGGCCACTTCTGCTTTCGCGGCCTCACTTCCTCGTTTTTTCAGATTGGCTCTTGTTTGCAAATAATTCTGAAGTTTGCATAATTTGCAGATGCAAAAATGTGTATGCTTTTTCGATTTAAATTAAATAAATGATTTAAAAATATGTATAAGAAAAAACGAATACGGTGAAGTGTGCTAAAGGCATATACGTTCTAGTTGAATAGCCAAGAATCCAAAATACATATATTCCTATGAAAAAATATTTGTCTGAAAAGGCCGGACAAGTAGCCCAAACTAATGTTTTTTTTTTTTAATTTTTGCTAAAACGGACAGGGGTAATTTGACATAACTATTTAAAAATAAAATTTAGTAACAAAAAACGTATAATTTTAAATTAAAAATTGTTTATTCATTTAAAAAAATTTAGTTTACATTTTAATATTCTTATTTTAGTAAAAAAAAATGTGCCCATTAACACTGGTTCCAATGACCCCGCTCCTATTTCTAGTGTTAATTGGTTTTTTCTTTTTTTTTTGAGATTGATCGACAAAAAAGCATTAAAAGTAGGGAAAATGCAGCTACTTAAAGCGCAGAAAAGGAAAAAAAAATCATAAAAAGGACTTTATTTGCTTACTTTGACGTACGCACGCTGATGGCTCAGTTTTAAAGCTTGAGGTTATATATATGTATGCATGTTTAAAGTCCCCTTTATGACCGGTTTTTTATTATTGTTAAAACAGTTGTCATGCGATGAGTGTTTTCAGTTTTCATTGCCGTGGGAATAGGAATTTATATATGCATTTCTTCTTTCTTCGACAGGTCCTTCCGCATATGGTGAAGGCGCTTACAGATTCAAAAAAAGTGGCTTAGAAATTCAGGTAAGCTCAAAATGTCGATTCCGATGGACGGGTGGTCTAGGACATATATCCAACTACAAATGTACATGCATATATTGTTTATACAATTATTCAATTCAACAATTATTAGAACTCATTGGCGAAAAAATCTATTAATGAAAAAATAATTGCGAAGCTTTGAGTGATTTTTAGATACACCTCTTGTGATTAAATGACCGGTTATTTGTATCTGAACACGTCGGTTATTCGCTCAACTTCATCAACCAAAGGTAGAAGGTTTTGTCGTTAGTTTATGACAATAGAGCGATTTACAGATGCATTCGGTTACAAGTAGCTGGTCATTTAAGCACAAGAGGTACGAAGTGACTTATGCCACTTTCAGAATAAATGGCTCATATAACCCTTTTAATCGATGTGCCTACTAATAATAATATTATGTATAACATAAATGTTGTAAACAACATATTTTTTAAAAACAAGCTTTTATTTAACATGATAAGATCCACATTTAGTGCAATCGACATATCGCACACCGTCTTTAAAAGAGTGACAACTCAAAATTTGGCATTTTTGAAATTATGCGCTAAAAAGAACTTTTATTTACCTTTCAGCAAAAGCTGGAGCAAATTTTTGTTATAATTTGTTAAAATAACCTAAGAAAAAGTCGTCCTTGCCCATATGATTAGCATGTGCTACGAAATAGTTTTTCGCATTTTCTGACGAACGTATTATTTTGAGTTGTGACTCTTTTGAAGACGGTGTGCGATGTGTTCGTATGTATGTATTTACATACATACGCTGCGACTAGGTTATAAATATTGCGACATCTGTTACTCAAAAGCCAAAATACCTACACACACATATTTTAGTCTCCTTCTCTCACTTCCAACGCAAGCACATGTTTGCAAAATGATGACGAAGTGATTTTGTATGAAAACTCATTATTTATTTATTTATTTATTTACATGAAATATAATTATAAATGATTATATTACATAATTAAGGCAACTAGCAGCAGGGGCTATCGGCCTGAAAAACCTCATTATTTACCCATATATTTGTATGAAACAAACTTAAAAGATATCAACCAATACTTCCCATATACTAAACGAAAGGGAAAAACTTGAAATTTTGACTAAACAAAACAAAAACAAAATAATTCGAGCGGTTTTGGAGCATTTTGATAATAAAAAAAGTGTGCTAATGTGTGTTGAATTTATATAATATTTGTACACGATAATATTTCAATTGCTCAAGAGAACCTATATACCGAAGATGCGAGTTTTATCTGCAAATCATAAGTTGCTAGAGCACTTTAAAGGCTCAAAATTTACCCCAAAATAGGCCAATATTTATCGCTTTTTCTAAGTGAGAAACCGAATTCGTTACTTACAAAAATGAATCTGTCGAAGGCTTGGAATTTTATCTTTAAAACACCTCACTTTTCTTTAAAATCGCTTTACTAGTTTTCGTTCAATAAGCGTTTTCGTGAAGCTCTAAAAAATTACAACTACAACATTTGAGCGTAGCATCGAAACGTAAGACGTAAAAAAAACACAAACAAGTTACACAACAACACACACAACACAACCAAGTTNATCGAAACGTAAGACGTAAAAAAAAACACAAACAAGTTACACAACAACACACACAACACAACCAAGTTAGACCCTTGTTTAGTTCATCTTGACGACATTTTAACTAAACATGCCCACTGCTCTGAAGTGAAAAAGTTTCTAAACTTCTGTTGTTTGTTTTAGTCTTTATGCTATAGCATAAATATTTTCTTACTTTCGCTTGATTACGGTTCATAAAATTTCTAAATTTCCTTTTAAATAAGCAAGTTTTACCAAATTTTGGAGCACTGCAGCTCTATACCAGTAGAGTAAAAAAATTTCTTCATTTATAATTTTTTCTATGTATAAACTATTCATAGTATACCTTCTAGTACTTACCAACCAGACCTCAGCTCTTATGTATCATCCTTAACGAACCACACTTATGAAAGTATTGCGATTCGATTTTTTTTTTGCTGAACGTAGGGGTCGACTTCATAAATTTTTCTTCATATCTTCGGCATTAACGGTCAAATCTGCATTTATGATATATTGATGTGTTTGCCTCGAAGAGAAATTTTTTTTGCTCCATTGTTTATTGACGCTATGCACGGTGTTCTAGTACTTACCCACCAGACCTCAACTCTTATCACAAAAATCATAAAACTTTTGCTAAGAAAGTATTTCGATTCAAAGGCAATTTCGATTTTCCTATATGGCCGGCTTCCTACATATATCGTCATATCTACGGTGTTTACAGTCGGATCTTAAATTATGATATACGAGTATCGATGTTTTTAAAACCACCACAAGTACTCATTCTAGTACTTACCCATCAGATTTCAGCTCTTTGCACCCTACCGTGCCACCCTAATATTAGCAAATTAAAGCTCGCCAAAAGTCATACAACTTTTGCTAAGGAAGAACATATTTGGATTTTTCCAGTAGAATGTAGGTAGGCAACACCGAAAAATGCAAAAAATACAATCTCTGGGTTCGGCCCACAATTTTTTTTTCGAAATTGCTTTGCCAAAATAGTTCGAACTCGAAAGTGTACAGCGATTTTTTATTTGCTTGCAAGGTGGTACGTCTAATGTATATATTTGGTATGTATGTATGTATATGTGCATCAAGATGTAAAAAAACCCTCATATGTTTTGAAACACTCTATTGTACATACATACATATACTTAGTAGATATGTACATACATACATATGTATGCGTATTTAATGTCCATCTATTTTTCTTTTTAACACCTCAGTCCGATGCCGACGTTGTCGAATTGGAGCATTTGAAGGACCATTACGGCAACGAAAATGCAGATGCTACTGTGCAAAATCCAACATACCCAGATCGACCCTTCGAGCCCTCTTTCGAAGGCAGATCTGTAAGTGCAGAACCAATAAGTGAATCTCAAGAATTGGAACGACAGCTGGAGCAAATGCCAGCTATTACTACAAAATTAGAAAAGAGCACGACAACAGAGTTACCACCAGCTCCGGTTGTGCCCGAGAATCGTGACGAACCGCAGTCACCAGTAGAGGGTATCGGTATGCACCGGCCACCCACACTTCAGCATGACAATGGTGGCAAAACGTCAACTGACGCTGGTGGTGCTTCAGGTCCCCAACAGGCTGCAGATAGTGGCACCATTATAACTGGTGGTGGCAGTCCACCTGCACCCTCTGCCATCAAGGTAAGCATAGTAGTGTAAATTTTTCTTAACGTTATAATTTTTAAATAAGAGTAGAAAATGCAAATTCTGCTAACAAAAGTCCTTCAAATGCGAGTACAATAGCTAAAAATTGCATTATCTGTTTATGTTTGCATGTATGTGCATATGTATGAACATAACTGTAGCATGAATGTACATATATGTATGTGTGTGTATGTATAATACAGCCTTTCTATGGTGCGGCACGTTTGGCATTTGGTCAAAATCCGGAAGTGCTTCCAACTACCACAGCTAAAGCATCTACATCTACAAAAACAACAATGTCCGGTATATCTACTTCCACTAGTACAACGACAGCAACAACAACAACTACCAGTACCACCACTCAAGCACCCATCCAAAGCAATAGCGATGAAAAACTTATTACTGCAGGCGAATCAGATACACTTCCGCTCGATGTCGAAACTGTCAACTCAAATAGGCAAGAAATTACTGGAACCATTCCGGCCGATAAGTTGCCTGAACAAATCAAATCAACAGCTCAACGTCGATCGGTGACCTTAATGCCACCCCAACAGGTTCTTATGGCCATACGTAGTTCAATTCAGTTTAGTTCAAGCTTAAGTACAAGCGGCACCTTGTGCCTAACCCATTGACAACTCATAAAAAAGCACATCCCCGCAGTGAAAGCCATGGATTTAGATGACTTCCAAGTGAATTTGCATTTCGTTTGCAGAAAATTTATAAATGTTGATCGGTGATTGTTGAAAAAGATTCAGTTGTCCTACCGCTGCACCTTTTCCTTCGAGCCTTCAGAATGGGGGCTGTACTTATATTCTACAACTACTCGTACGAGTAATGTACGGAATGCTTTTCATATTGTTCAAGATATTTTAAAATCTTTTGCAGTACCCGGCCAAATGAATAGAAACAGCACTCAGATTCTAATACATATTTTCAACTTTATCCAATTTTTTTAAATTGTAAATATTTGTTTATAAAAAATATAGCTCACTTGATAAAATAAACGATATGCTAATTCAAAACTTCAAACTTTGTGCAAAATTTGCGAAAATCAAAAAAAAATCATTCAAATTTCAAACTTTTTAGTCTGACCTTTAAGTTTTATAGCCCATTAAATTTCAGTAATAAAGTGCTAATTTCTATTCGCTTAAAATTCGCGTTGATATATATATATTTTTTTTGTTTGCTGGCGGCAATGTGCTTTCTGTTCTATACAAGTACATACATACAAATTTACGGCTGAGTAGAAGATCGCTCTAAAAAGACTTCTCTGCAAATGGTTAAAGAATGCCCTGACTCAGTATTTGGTTCGAAAACGCTCTATCTGATTATAAATTTAATACATCGGTTGCCGCGAATTGCATTTTCGAACCAAATTCTGAACTAGGGCGTTTTCGAACCGGGCAGCTTACATAGGGCGATCTTCCACTCAGCCGTCGATATGTTCGACATTTTTTTTATATGGAATATAATTAGCAACGCCTTCTATAAATATCAACGGTGAGCCCTAGGTACCTCAATGGACATCTTCTTATGAAGAAATCTAAATAAAATGCTCGAAATTTGTACCAAAGTTTTTAAATTCTTTTTTTAATTTCACAAAGCTTGTAACTTCAATTTATATGGTTTTTGTTAAAGAATGAACTATATTTTTACACAAAAATCCCTAAAATTAAATAAAAAAAAATTAATTGCTAAAACTTGTCAATATGTACTTATAATTATGACGCAGGGTGTACTTTGTATGGAACAAAATGCACAGCACTAGTGTCCGACCAAACTCGAGTTTTTGGCCGAAACCGAACCCGAACTGAACACCCGGCTTTTGTCTTGAAGTTCGATCGGACACTGCACAACACCTTCAACCCTAAAAATTTTCAAAAATCAACGGTAATATTGAAACTGAAAACTGCGTAGCCAAACATTTTCTAAAAGCTCTGATTAAAACTTTCAAACGTTGATGAAGTTTTTTTTTTAATTTGTTAAGCTTTCGCGATAATTTTTATATTTCTTATGTTATTAAATAAACTATATTTAAAAAAAAAAATATGAAAATTCAAAAGGTGGGATAAACTTTCTTATCATTTGGCAGGGTACAGTAACTAAAATTCTACATTCCTGATTTCAACCTTTTGGCTAGAATTTAAAAATTCGATTAAATGTAAAATTAAATTTTAACAAAAATTTACATACTTTTTCAAACGGATAAATTTGTTTTATACATATGAACAATAGAATATGAAATGATGCAATACTTTAAAACTGTCGAAAAAGCGACAGTTCTGAACTATTAGTAGGAAAACTTTATTTTATCCACTTGAAGAGGTTTTACCTGCTGGGATAGTGTAAATACAATCACTTCTATGCAAATACATATATTTAGTCCATTGAATATAACTGAATAGCCACAACCCCCATCAATCTTACTTTCTACATAGAAATGTATATACCAGTATTTGCAAACACATTTACAACTGCAATATCTCACATCATAACATACCACACTCAAGCTATCCTTGGAATAGTTGGCAGCTGCAAATGAAAATTTACATTATAAATTGGCAACCGCATGAACAAATTATCGATCTTAAGTTTTTAGGCTTTGTGCGCAATTAAAGGAGGCAACAAAAGATTAGGCCGTTAAGTGATTTTGATGCAATTTTTCCAAGAGCGTTAGAAAAGTTTTAGTTGTCACATAAATATGTATGTATTCATGTATGTCATCGCACACAACTAATGACCCTAATACAACTATCTGCTGACCCGCAAGCTGTACTATTGAACACTGACTCTGAGATGTTCTGGATTATGAAGCTTTTCTTAGCTCAGAGGAAGCATCGAAAGTCTAACCCGTCAGTGTGGAAGTTTAATCTGAACTAAACCTCCTATCTTAACAGTAATATTGAGCTTTGTACCACGTTGCCTTTTAGACAATATGAAAAAAAAAACAACCCGGCCTAAGCGGTGAAAGTTATAGCTGCTATTTCGGAGATCACCACATCTCCTCCTCGGACTTCCTTCTGTAGACTTCAGCAGGAATCGAATGCGTCAAATATTTCGTTGGGAGGTGGTTTGGGCAATAAGCTCTACGCTCATTACAGTTCTGGTGTAGTCCATAAGAATTTTCATCAACGTTATCTATCGTCTACTGTGTGTTTTAAATTTAGATACAACCCTCCCTATTCGGGTCCAATCGTCCATAGTCAAGTCCGTGGTGACTACTATTAGACCCCTTTCAGAGACGTCAAGTCTTGATTTCAAGTCTGCTCGTTCGTAGGCGAAAGAGGTGAGACGAATGTACACTTCCCCTCTCTTCTTACCTCCTTCGCCTACGAACCGCGCAGACTTGAAAGCAAGACTTGACTTGTTTGAAAGGGGTTTTATCTTTTTCAGCTTTCGGTGTATACCTGATATTGTGGCCAGTGCACGGACTTCGAAAAATTTAATAGTGTAGACTTTACACAGAAAAGGTGGTAGAAGTTGGTAGATAAAAAAAAAACAATATTAGATAGTTTTTATACATTCAGGGCCGGTTATGTAGGTCGTTATCGATGTAGACGTCTACATTTTGAGATATTATCTAACCGTAAAATCTGTGGTGTTGTTGTTTCCCATAAAAAATTGAAAAGCGACGCCGCACTGTGATATTTGGTCTTCAATTCGTGCACATAAATCCAAAAATAAAGTACCGATTTAGGGTTTAATGCTAAGGTTTAAAAGAATGACAAAAGCCATTTTTTTTTAATTGTATTCTAAACTATAATACTCAATACTTTTGTTTGAGATGCGATTTTGTACCATACAACATTGAAAGTTTTTCTGAAGGTGATTTTTTAAATAGATTTATTTCAACCAATTTCTTGTAAGATACACGCAAATATGATTATATTATAATTCAGTAGCATTTTTGTTTAAGAATTTTAAATACAAATTTAAAATCCAAATATAACTAATTTAATAAATCTTTTTCAAACTCAACACATTTCTATTAATTTCAGGCGTCATATTGGATTGGTCATTTTGTTTTCAGCTATTTTGATTTCAGATTCGAATTCAGCGACATCAAAAACTCCAAATTCATGTGAATATACTAATCTAAACATTAAATAATGGGCACAAAATGAGCTTCAAATATCACTGTGCACCGTCTACATTTTGTCACCGCAACAAAATTGTTTGATGCAAATTAGATTTGAAATTGTTAAAGTGGGCAACCTATTCGTTTGTAAGTCTCCCACACTTATTGCAAACGAAAAATATTTACATAAGCAGCTGATAGGGAGGCAATTTAACTTTTAAATTGGTTATGTTCATAGTTAATTTTTCATTTTTATTTCTGTGGTCACAAGCTATAACAGCCTAAGTTGACTTAAGAAAGAATGGAGTTATCCTCATCTTGCCAGCTACGAGATTATTTTGGTTTCCACCTGTTTAAAATGTTTCTTCTCGAATTCAGGTTTTTCGACTTATTGCTTATGACCACAGATTTAAGATGTATCCGATGATAAAATATGGGCACACATATGTATACTAGGGTGGTCCAAAAATGCATGTGGAAAAAGTAAAGTCGGAATTGTAATGCTCTCACCCCCTAGGATTGTTCTATACCGAAAAAGTATACCCTTATTTTTTATTTTGAAATCAAAAAAAAATATTTAAGAAGTCGCTCAAAGCGCCCAAAGTTTTCCATGTATTTTATATTAAAATTCGGCAGTTTGTACTGAAAACCTGTAGTTAACTGCCGATTGAGAGTTAACTTGCCACTCCAAAACGGCCCTAAAGGTAAGGTTATTATCGGGTACATACTCGTGAAGAGCTGACCAGTTTAGAAAAAAGGTGTAATTTTTTAACTAAGCTCAACTGGAAATATTCTGAAATGCTGCAAAAATCGCGCAATAAATTTGATAATGATGAGCGACGGATTGTCAAACCTTCATTCCCCGAACGCACGATGCAGATAGAGGCGCCACAATTTCGGGCTAGAACGTAATGCATTTTCATAAAAAGAAAACACTGTCACATTCAATCCCATCCATATAACTGTTTACATAGTTACTTATGTATGCTTAAGTATATTTTTCCGTATCATTATTGCGTTTCATCATAATGCTCTAGCCACGTAATAAAGCATACAACATAAATCATTCAAACGAAAATTCCAGCAAACTCACATACAGCTTGTGCGAATGCAATAACTCTAACTTTATTTCATTTCCACAATTTTTTTTTTATGCTCAACAGACTGTTGAGGCTCTGCTAAAGCGTCACAATGGACAAATAACACCTTTTGACATGGCACAGTACGTATTTTGGACCGGCGATGAGGCTGGTGTTGCACGTGCCGTTGAAGAGCTAATCGATCGGGGAGTGGTAGGTCGGGATAAAGAATTAAACTTTAAAATTTTCTGTATAATTTATTTTACAGATGACACGTGAAAATGCCTTAGCATTTTTGCGGGAGGTGCGTGTTGGAATTGAATACCTACAGCAATCTTATACAAATCGGATATTTCCGGAGGCTGGCTTGAATATTAACATCGATAAGGTAAAACAAAGCCGGGTTTACTTAAATTTGTCTATTATGGCAGATTCTTTTTGAATATGTTAACCAACAAATATCGATTATTCTGTACTTGTGCTGCGAAATCTATGACTTTATTTAAAGACTTGAATTGAATTTCTAATTGTTCACCATTCGATTTTTAGAAAATGTTCCAACCTCCGCAAACCAAAACTATAATACCACCAACCGTTTCGCCAACAAATGAAAAAAACTTGCTTCCTTACTTACGACTGGATCGACTATTGTACTCTAACAATGAAAATCCAATGAAGTCAGTCGAAAATATATCGGTATGGCATAAATTGCAGGCGCTAAGCAATGATGGCAATCAAGGTAGGAGTATGTAAATAAAGTGTACATATCTCATTTTTTAAATTATACAATTACAGATCTAAATGATTATGATGAGACCGGTGAAAGAGCTAAAATATCACAATTTCTTTACAATGAATACACCTTGGAAGACATTTTATATAAATTAGCAAAGGTGTGTTAGATTAATTAATTTGCCCAGTAGCGAACTTCAGGAGCCCTCCACTCTAAACTGCTTCCTCATTTCTTTTTTGTATGGAGTGGCACAAATCGAATGGCGTCTGCCTTCGCCACCCATAGAACGGCTACCGCACGTAATTCAGAAGGCCTTTTGGAGGAGTTATTTTAAAGTTGCTTCTTTAATGGTGATTTAGTTTCTACCAAAAAATGTCGCATTTTGATTGCCCTTTCTCTTTGCGTGTTCGATTCTAAATTAAAGGCAAAGATTTAGAGAATTTTTTGTTCGTTTCTTAAAATGTCACACTCTTGTAAGGCATAAAAGGCACATCTTCTGCCCTTTGAAGCTTTGTCAGGGGAGGTAGTTGCCCTGAAAATGAGATGGTTTAAAATGACAATATTATGAAATGCTTGAGCTAGGCAAGGATAAGAAACAAAATCATCCCTTTTACAGGGTTGAGTGTAACATTAAATGCATTTTGCAATTTGTTTTATTGTAACTTGAAATTCATATTGAAATTCATTTGTAATGCTAAATAACCCGGAAAACCATATTTGCATTGCATTGCAGAGAAACTTTAAAGAATTCGTAAAGATCTCTTCTGATTTTTTGCCGAATTTTCTAAAATGAAGTAAACTGTGCGCACTTCGATTCTTTTACGGAATTTCGGGAAAAAGCGGTAAAGCAATGAAAATAATGCTGCTATGTGAAGAATTTCTTTCAGAATTTTCTCTATTTTTCCTACAGAAATTTCTTTACGAGTTCGTGTCAACCACTTCATATAATTTTCTTTGAAGATTCGAAAGAAAATCGTTACAGAAATGAGCTACTCCTAAAGATTTCGTTAAGATTCCGGCAACTTTGGATTGCAGGGAATACATAAAAGCTAACTTTTACATTCGGGTAGATTGTATTTAAATAGTAAAAGCCCTTCTAGAAGACATACAGCTAAAAACCTTTGTTTAGCCCTTATTGGTTAAGCCTTTTAGAATGCCTTCACTTAAGACGGCCTACTTAAGTTCGCTCCTGGGCTTGCTTATTGCTATTTAAGATATTCCTCTTACATTTTTGCTACATAGATTATGTTCACACAATCTTTGTCGCACGGTTCCGACGAAGCCCAGCATGAGTTGCAGAAACTAACCGACTTTTTGGAGCGTGAAGGAAATATTGGTGTTATACCCATTGATTTGCAGAAAAAAGTTTTGCGTATGTTTGCAATTAATATATATCTAGTAATTGGGTATTCATTTGATGATTAATCGTGAATTTATATTATTTACAGATATTTTATTCCGCGCACTCTCCGATACTCTAGCGGAACGTCCCGAATTGTTGTCTGCTGCTAATGTGAATCTAGCTAATCCCTACAATCGTCTTCCTCTACGCACTTTAGAGCCATAAAGGCGTTAAAGCAACCAGTGATTCCAGCATAGATGCTAACTTCCAAACATATGTAATTCATTTGTTCCAACTTAAAACTACATAAATACATATGTGCTACAAAGTTATCAAATGCGAAGGCAACTACCCTGCAAACCATTTTTTCAGAGTATTCTGCATTGTAAAGAAATTTTAAAGAATTCGTTAAGATTTAATTCGATTTTTTGCCGAATTTTCTAAAATGAAATAAATTACGCACACTTCCATTCTTTTACGAAATTTCGGAAGAAAATCTGTGAAGCAACGAAAATAATGGTGCTATGTGAAGAATATCTTTCAGAATTTTTTTTTTCCGAATCTTCAAAGAAAATTATATGAAGGGTTGACACGAACTCGTAAAGAAATTTCTGTACGAAAAATATAGAAAATTCTGT